TGGCCTTAACAAAATTGACCACTTCTTTTTTTTATGCGTGTCACAGTTAATCCTCCCTAGGGTGCTGGTCAATGAGTTGGCCAAAGGCTATATGGAAGCCTTTTGAAGTTTCACTGACTGATCCATATTTAGGACAAGGTCATAGGTCAAAGTGGGAAGGTTCTCTCCTCCCTTTCAGGAGAAAAGGTACCTCCCTCTTTGATGACCTGTTGTTTCTACTAGGATCTCACTCGCGGAGATCTTTCATTTAGGTGTTTTTTTTTTTTTTTTTTTTCCAGAGTGTCTTGGCTTTCCATGCCTGAAATACTCTCAGGTGCTTTTCAGCTGGATCCGAATGCCTTAAGGGCTGATTCTGAGGCCAGAGTGCTGTTTAGGACATCCGCCATTCTGAGTCTGCTGTGTATCCCGCTTCCCATGTTGGATCGTTCTCTCCCTTTTTTGTTCTATCAGTTAGTATTTACAGACACTAGTCTTGTTTATGTGATCCCTTTGACTCTTAGTCCTATCATTATGATCAACTGTGAACAGAAATTGATCAAATGGACGAGTGAGATGGCACTGCTACATGCTACCTTGATGGGATTGCATTGGAATCCCCTGGTATGTTTCTAACTCTACCGTTTGGGGCAAGTCAGCTTGAGCATGTCCCAAATTGTACATCTCTTCCCTCTCTTATTCCCACTCTTATATTTAACAACGATCACTTTTCAGTTAAGTTTCAACACTTAAGAATAACTGTTTATTAATTACAGAATTAAACCAATAGTATTAAGTAGAACAGACAAAAAAAAATACTAAGAGGGATAATGTATTAAGTTGTTCATCAACAGTCAGGGCAAGGGCTGTTCAAGTCACTGTTTCTCATAGTGTCCATTTCACTTTAACAGGTTTCCTTTTTGGTGCTCAGTTAGTTGTCACCGATCAGGGAGAACATATGGAATTTGTCCCTTTGGGACTGGCTTATTTCACTCAGCATGATGTGTTCCAGATTCCTCCATTTTGTTGCAAATGACCGGATTTCATTGTTTTTTACTGCTGTGTAGTATTCTATAGAGTACCTATCCCATAATTTCTTTATCCAGTCTGCTGTTGATGGGCATTTAGGTTGATTCCAGGTCTTAACTATTGTGAATTGAGCAGCAATATACATTAAGGTGCAGACAACTTGTTTGTTTGCCAATTTAATTTCCTTTGGGTAAATTCCAAGCAGTGGGATGGCTGGGTCGAACGGTAGGGTTATCTTCAGGTTTCTGAGGGATCTCCAGACTGACTTCCATAGTGGCTTAACCAGTTTGCATTCCCACCAACAGTGGGTTAGTGTCCCTTTTCCCCACATCCTCGCCAGCATCTGTTGTTGGTAGATTTCTGAATGTGAGCCATTCTCACCAGGGTGAGGTGAAACCTCATTGTAGTTTTGATTTGCAGGGAAATAATATGACCCTTCTAAACATTCCATCATCTCCTATCAATTAGGCATCATCGCAACTATATCGTTCACTAATTTTTATTTACTTACCTTTACCATTTTCCTTTACCAACCATTCCCACTTATTCCGCAGGCAGCAGACATTTCAACAGAGCTGCCAGGGGTTGCTCCACCACAGTTCTTAGCAGGCTTCTTTCTTTCTTTCTTTTTTTTTTTTTTTACAGGAAGAGTGGACAGTGAGAGAGAGAGACAGAGAAAGGTCTTCCTTTTGCCGTTGGTTCACCCTCCAATGGCCGCCGTGGCTGGCGCGCTGCGGCCGGCCCACCGCGCTGATCCGATGGCAGGAGCCATGCGCTTCTCCTGGTCTCCCATGGGGTGCAGGACCCAAGTACTTTGGTCATCCTCCACTGCACTCCCTGGCCACAGCAGAGAGCTGGTCTGGAAGGGGGGCAACTGGGACAGAATCCGGCGCCCTGACAGGGACTAGAACCCATTGTGCCAGCTCCGCTAGGTGGAGGATTAGCCTATTGAGCCACGGCGCTGGCCCACAGCTAGTTATGATACATTTAATAAATAGAAGGACAGTATCCAGTAGAGGACTTCAGTTGTCTCATTTGTGAAGTGAGGTCATTCAATTTGATTCTTTCAGCATATTTATAACTCTGAAATTATTTAATTGTGGATTTCACTTATATTGAACAAAGTGTTTTTTGATTGGCTACCATCTGTTGGTAGTACTAAAAATTACAACTAATTATTTTAAGTTGAAGTACAGCTTTTCAGTTGTGAGGTAAAACAAGCATGACTGGTTGTGGAGGGTAAGGGTCTGAGTGCTAATATCGTTTCTTTTCCCACATGTTAGAATGATGTCTGTGAGAAGGGAAGGAAATTTAAGTCAGCTGGCTGATAGATAATATAAGATAATATAATAAAATATGTAAGGGGGGATTTTGTCTTTCCACAGATTCAAATAAACAAAGAAAAAACCTTTTCTAGCCCCACTTTTTTTTTTTTTAATCCTATTGTGGGCTGAAATGACTTGTTTGAACATTCAAAACTATCAAACTGCTGCTTACAGTGTCCTGTCAGGCACCTGTTCAGTTACCCTGTGGATAGCAGAAAGATTTACTTTCTCATTTTATTTTTTATTTATTTGAAAGGGGGAGGAGGGAGGGAGGGAAGGAGGAAGAGAGTGAGAGTGAGAGCGCAATTTCCACCTGCTGGTTCCACCTGTTGGTTCACTTCCTAAGTGCCTGCAACAGCCAGGACTAGCCTGGAACTCAGTCTGTGTCTCCCACATGGGTGCAAGGACCCATCACTTGCTGCACATTAGCAGAAGGCTAGAATTGGAAGCAGAGCTGGAACTCAAACCTAGGTGCTCTGAAATGGGTTGCAGGTCTTACAAGTGGTGTCTTAGACAACTGCTCACACTTCTAAATGCCCATTCCAAGCTTTGCTTTCTTCCTTTCTTTTTTTTTTTAGATTGATTTATTTGAAAGACAAGAGTTATAGAGGGAGGGAGAGACAGAGAGAGATCTTTGATCTACTGGTTCAGTCCTCAAATGGCCACAATGTCTGGGGCTGGACTAAGCTGGGCCAGGCTGAAGCCAGCAGCCTGGAACTCCATCCAGTCTCTCATGTGAGTGGCAGGGGCCCAAATGCATGGGCATCTTCTGCTGTGTTCCCAGGCACATGACCAGAGAGCTGGGTCACAAGTGGAGCTGCAGGGACTATGGGTGTCAGCTTTGAAGATGGCAGCGATCTGCTGTGCCAGGAAACTGGTCCCAAGATTTGCTTTCTTGAAGCTCAACACAACCTGGCTGTAGTCTTTTGGGAATGTTATCATAGAAGCATTGTTTTTTTCAGAGAGCTTTGTGAGAGCAAAATAGACTTCAAGAATGATAGCAATTGTAGATGTTTTCACGTATCTGTAACTATAGGGAGACACATACTGCAGACCACCAGGTGGCCTTGACCAGGTTCTATTTGGTGTTTCTTTAAGGCTATAGAATTTGTCACCTGGTAGGTAGGTAGATTGATATGGCTTTGATTTGTGGAGTCTTCTTCCCAAATAAACTTTGGAATAAAAAAGTATTGTAAAACAGCATACTCACACACATTCCTATGTTGTTTCTTTGACCTTAAGGTTAAAACTATTTAGTTATGTTTTGAAATTACTAAAAATACTAAATGATTGTTTCCTTTTGCAGCTCAGAAGATAAAGTAACAGTACATTTTATAAACCGTGATGGTGAAACATTAACAGCCAAAGGAAAAGTTGGTGACTCTCTGCTAGATGTTGTGGTTGAAAATAATCTAGATATTGATGGTTTTGGTGAGTATGGAACATTCTTTAGAATTCGTTTGAAACTATTGAATATATTTGAACTGTGTTTTTTCTATAGTTGCTAGGTAGAATATTAACATTCAGAATGTTTTAGTGTCAGAGTCTCACTTATACAGAATAATAGAGTGACACTGTTTTTCTCTTCTTGGTGCATTTATTTTCTTTTTTAATTTTTTTTTTTTTTTTTGACAGGCAGAGTGGACAGTGAGAGAGACAGAGAGAAAGGTCTTCCTTTGCCGTTGGTTCACCCTCCAATGGCTGCCGCAGCTGGTGCGATGCAGCCGGCGCACCGAGCTAATCCGATGGCAGGAGCCAGGTACTTTTCCTGGTCTCCCATGGGGTGCAGGGCCCAAGCGCTTGGGCCATCCTCCACTGCATTTCCTGGCCACAGCAGAGAGCTGGCCTGGAAGAGGGACAACCGGGACAGAATCCGGGGCCCCGACCGGGACTAGAACCTGGTGTGCCGGCGCCGCAAGGCGGAGGATTAGCCTAGTGAGCCGTGGCGCCGGCCGGTACATTTATTTTTATTAATTTATTTGAGAAAAAAATGTGCATAGGGCTGGCGCTGTGGCATAGCGGGTACAGCCACCGTCTGCATCCCATATGGGCGCCGGTTCGAGTCCTGGCTGCTCCACTTCCGATCTAGCTCTCTGCTATGGCCTGGGAAAGCAGTAGAAGATGGTCCATGTCGTTGGGCCCCTGCACTCACGTGGGAGACCCAGAAGAAGCTCCTGGGTTTGGATTGGTGCAGCTCTGGCTGTTGCAGCCAATTAGGGAGTGAACCAGTGGATGGAAGACCCCCCCCCCCCGCCTCTATTTCTCTCTCTGTGTAACTCTGACTTTCAAATAAATAAATCTTTAAAAAACAAAAAAACCTGTATAACATGGAATACAAAGTGTTATTACAATTAAAAAAAAAAAGAATGTGCATACTCTAATTTGCTGGTTCACTCCCTAAATGCCCACAAGGGCCAGTGGGCCCAACCTGAGAGCCAGGAACCCAATTAGCCCTCCCATGTGGGTGGCAGGAACTTGACTACTTGAGCCATCATTGCTGCTTCCTAGGGTCTGCATTAGCAGGAAGTTGGAGTCAAGTAGCTAGGTAGAAGTGCCTGCTCAGGCACTCCGGCATGGGACGTGAGCATCTTAACCACCTGCCTCTTTGTACATTTAAATAGCTGTGTGGCCAGAAATCTGTGGCCTCATTACCTTCCTCTTGTCCTGGATGATGCAAAACAGGATAGGAATGAAGTTGAAAAATACCAGGTTAGATATAACATATGCCATGTCACAGAGGGATATTTCATCTTGAATGTTAGCTCACTTTCCTAGCAGGGAAGGATAACTTACCCTAAAATGTGTATTATTGAGAAACTTGTCATTTCTAGACTTCCAACCATATTCCTTAGAAGTACAGAATCCATGTTTTATCAGCAGCCCTCTTAACAGCTCCTTAGGCATACTCTGTTAGCACCCGTGAGTTTCGCTCAAGCTCTGTCTTGAAAGGTAGTTTTCAAAGAGGGTTTCTTGACCATTAGCATCAGCTATCACCTGGAAAATGCAGATCCTTAGCTCCTCTCCAGATGAGTGTTGTAACAAGCTATCCCTGTGGTTTTGAAGATAAATGTGCCAAGTTTGAGTACCAGCTGTCTAGAGTAAGTTCCCCAGAGCATACCTGATGAAGCTTTGTTGGCACAGTTCACATTGCACTTTTAAGACTTTTCTTTTTTTTTTAATAGAAAGCTTTTATTTAATAAATATAAATTTTGTAAGTATAACTTGGATTTTAGGGGTTCTTCTCCCCATACCCAGACTCCCACCCCCAAACCATCCCACCTCCTACTCCCTCTCCCATCCCATTATTCATTAAGATTCATTTTTAATTATATTTATATACAGAAGATTAACTCTATACTAAGTAAAGATTTCAACAGTTTGCACCCACACAGACACGCAAAGTATAAAGTGCTGTTTGAAGACTAGTTTTACTGTTAATTCTCATAGTATAACACATTAAGGACAGAGGTCCTACATGGGGAGCAAGTACACAGTGACTCCTGTTGTTGATTTAGCAATTGGCACACTTATTTATGATGTCAGTGATCACCCGAGGCTCTTGTCATGAGCTGCCAAGGCTATGGAGGCCTCTTAAGTTCACAAACTACAATATTATTTAGACAAAGCCATAATCAAAATGGAATTTCTCTCCTCCCTTCAGAGAAAGGTACCTCCTTCATTGATGGCCCCTTCTTTCCACTGGGATCTCTCACAGAGATCTTTCATTTAGGTCATTTTTTTGCTACAGTGTCTTGCCTTTTCATATTAAGGACTATTTCTAGATCAGAATTAATTTCTCTGTCCTCCATTTTCCCATGATACATTAAGACTGCTTCTCGGGGCTGGTGATGTGGTATAGTGGGTAAAGCCGCCACCTGCAGTGCCGGCATCCCATATGGGTGCCAGTTCAAGTATAGGCTACTCCACTTCTGATCCAGCTGTCTGCTATGGCCTGGGATAGCAGTAGAATACAGCTCAAGTCCTTGGGCCCCTGCACTTGTGTGGGAGACCCAGAGGAAGCTCCTGGCTTCAGATCAGTGCAGCTCTGGCCGTTGTGACCATTTGGGGAGTGAACCAGTGGATGGAAGATGTTTCTCTCTCTCTCTCTCCCCCACCTTCCTCCCTCTCCCCCCCCCTTCCTCCCTCTCTCCCTCCCTCCCTGCCTCTCCTTCTCTTTTTTTATAAGTCTGACTTTCAAATAAATAAATCTTTAAAAAAAATTTTAAAAGGACTGCTTCTCTGTATTGTGTACCATATTTTTTCTTTTTCTTTTTTTTTTTTGAAAGATTTATTTACTTATTTGAAAGAGTTACAGAGAGTCAGAGATCTTCCATCTGCTGGTTCACTCTCCAAATGGCCGCAATGGCTGGAGCTGGGCCGATCTGAAGCCAGGAACCAGGAGATTCTCCCAGGTCTCCCATGTGGGTGTAGGGGCCCAAGGACTTGGGCTATCTTCTGCTGCCTTCCTAGGCTATAGCAGAGAGCTGGATCAGAAGTGGAGCAGCCAGCTCTTGAACCAGTGCCCATATGGGATGCTGGCACTGCCAGTATCAGCCTTACCTGCTATGCCACAGCACTGGCCCCCATATTTTTTCTTTTTAGAGAGAATGCTCCCATCCTTTATTAGATTAGGAGTTCTTAGGTAACCTAATAGAGTGACTATAACCATAGTTGGCACTCAATAACATTTACTGAATTTCTAAATATAATATTTTGCGGTCAGTTTCAAGGTTATAATAAACAACTGCATTTGAGTAAATACTACATCCTATATGTTATTGCAGAGAGAGGAGAGATGGAGGCGAGATAGAGATCTTCCATTTGCTGGTATCCCTGGATGGGATGCTGACATCTGCTTAACCCCCTGTGCCACAACACTGGCCTGGAAAACCTTGGTTTTGAAAGCTATTGGTTGCAGTGGTTAAGAATGGAGTATTCCTGGGGCTGGTGTTGTGGTGTAGCAGATTAAGTCTCCTCCTGTGACGCTGACATCCCATATGTGCACTGGTTTGAGACCTAGCTGTTTCATTTCTGATCCAGCTCCCTGCTGATGCACCTGGGAAAGCAGCAGAGGCTGGTTCAAGTGCTTGGGACCCTGCACCCGTGTAGGAGACCCCAAGGAAGCTCCAGGCTCCTGGCTTTGACCTGGTCTAGCCCTGGCCATTGTGGCCATTTGGGGAGTGAGTCAGTGAATGGACGATACTCCCTGTCTCTCCTCCTCTCTCTGTAACTCTGCCTTTCAAATAAACAAAAAATAAATCATTAAAGACAAAAATGGAGTTTTCCTGCCTGAGGTCATCTATAAAATGGGGGTAATGTTACCTCATAAAGTTGCTTTGAGAGTGAAATGAGTTAATCTAAGCAAGTGGTAAGTACATTATTAGCTATTAGCAGATATTAATACAGATTCATTGTTAATTACAGCAAATTTTAAAGTACATTAAAAAAGAAAACTCATCTTTCTATATCCCAGAAATATAGAAAATTTAATGCTAGCACAATCTTTACTTTGATGAAAATTCTCTTGGTGCCATAAATTCAAGTAAGACTTAAAAGCTTAGAAGATCAGAGATCCTAACACATCTAGAAATCTTAGCTTGAGATAAGCTAAGTAGGTTCGCAAAAGGTAGAGTTAAGCCTAAGCTTTTTTCTAGAATTAAGATGACAGCAATGAAATACAGAAGTCTTTATAAAGAAGAGGTTGTTAGAACAGCATTATAGGGCAACTATATCATTAATATTTGAAGGCAAAAATAGGAGACCCTTTATGTACTGCCCCTGTCTTAAATCATACCCAGATAAACACTACTGCTACAGATGGGGCTGACCAAGTACTTCCTCATCTCCTTACAGCTTCTCCCCAGGTGATCTCATTCATTCTGTAAACCTTAAATCCTTTTTAGATGCTAATTTATTTACCCTGCTAGCTCTGGACTTACAGATTGAACCTTCCTACTTTACATGTCATCTTGGAAATCTCACAGGTATTTTAAACTCAAGATATTTAAAACAGTACCTTCTACCTTCTTCCCTCTGCCATGAAAGCAGTCCTTGCTGGAATCATTTCTGTGTCAGTGATGAGCACTCTGCAGCTGCTGCAGCCTGAAGCTGAGTGGAGACGTCTTTTATTCCTTCTTCTCCCCCGTCCCCCACCTTTCATCCATCAGGCACTCCTGTCAGTTGTGCCTCCAAGGTGGGCCTCCAGCATGTCCTCTTGCCTCTATCTTTAGTGTCACCACTGGGAGCTGGCCCGTCACTGCATCCCTGGCACTGTGCTAACCTGCTTCTGCTGTGGAGCCCAGCAGCCAGGGTGATTTGTCCTATACAAAACTGTCAGTCCCTGATGGAAACCCTGAGTGACTTCTCTGCACTGAGGATCACGTCCACCTTGCCCTAGCCTCAAAGGCTGTGTATCATCTGTCTCATCTGCC